AAAACCGAGTCGGGCAGATTCCGATACTGCGGACGACAATTCGTGCAGCATGAAGACTACTCCGTGAGTATCTCCACAAGTGAAAACTGCAAGACCGTGAAGCCGATCGAAATCGACAAGCATCGGAGATTGTCGGAAAAGGTAACAGAGAAGGAGTTGACAAGCCTCAGGAGCGTTGTTGGCAGCTTGGCTTCCTAGAGATTGGTTTGTACACATTCATTGTGTACATAGCCTTGTCCGAACACTTTCCCACTGCAAAGTGTATATATACATTTCTTCTTGGGAAAGATCACGCAATTTCAAGCTAATTTTTGGCTCTCACCTGTGACAGGTGTGACACACCTTTTGAGCCTGTGGCGGGTGCCATTAAATCCTACAAAAACCGTAAGAACAAACCTATATTTCATTCAATCCTTCAAACAAACCCTGGCCCACACACACACACACTCGCTCCAGCTTCGCCATTTTCACTTCACATCCCTCAGCTTGGGCAACAATCCAAGCTTGTAGCGCTCTAGGCACCGTTGGGATGCCGTGCGTGGATGGACGAGTTTCTTCAAACGCATGTAGCGTTTGATCCCGTCCTCATCCATCCAACACCCTAAGTGGGATGGATTAAGTCGACTCGGACGGGAATCCATCGCAAGATGCCACAAGAGGTGTAGTTTTGGGCGGCATCTGAAAAGCCGTTTCCCACCATCGAGCGCTGATCTGGCCAGCTTAATGTACAAATGCACCATCATCTGGCCCACTGCCATGCGCTGCCCATCCTCTTTCTCAGACATGAACATCGGCGTGCTATGCAAATGCGCTGCCCAGTTGTTCGCAAGCCATACCAACTAGGATGGCCAAGTGGGAAAACAACTCTGGAAAGCTGCTGGCCAACTAAACAGCAAAGAACAACAAGTTCAAAAGTTACAAAAATACTTCCAGGTTCTGACGCAAGATCTCCATTGCTTGGAGCCCGGGTCTGCAGCTCATCGGCTAGCCACGACATCACCACTCGCGTATCTGAACCCTTGCAACGAAGTTCGGGGTACCTGATATCGTATCAGTTTATGTGGAAACCAAACATCGCAGTAGAACATTGCCAGGCATCAAATTCCAAAATATCGCCAGGAAAACACCAAATCTTCCAAGGCACACAGACTGCCAGTTGAGGTTCTGCTTTGTGAGCTGCCGGAGGGTGCAACTCAGCTTCTGTTGTTTGCACCAGCGCTTCAGTGATGCCGTGGCATATGCAAGGCGATGTTCGATGTTCGAACCTGGCCAATACCGTTCTGCCACAAGCACCCGCAGGGCTGACCCCAAAAGATCACGCCCCACTCTAAGATGGAACACGTGAAGGACATCAGGGCCAATCATGACCTCCTCAAATCCCACCTGATACAAGATTGGAAGACCAAAAGCTTTCCCCCTCTTTCTTTTATAGTCTGTTGACACACCGTTTTCCAAAACAATATTTTTGTTGGCCACAAAAAACAATTGAATCCAAGTGGCCAGATTTGCAAAGGCCGGGCGAACATCCCAGATCGGAGCATGCGCTCCGCGCCACGGCGCATGAGGGCTCAAGTTGGTGTAGGACCACTGCGGGTCCACACTGCCCTTTGTGGCCCCACACTTCCAGCACACCTGAAGGGACCAAATTTGAACAAACACTTTTGCAACAATCAGGCCCCTTTGAACTTTTGGTGTATTTGATATTACTGAAGCAAACACATTTGAACTATCAGGATTTCAAGGTGACCCTCTGTCACACTAGCTCGGTGCGATCATGGTGATGGCGAGGCCGGCTGGGGGCCGGGTGCACTGACCTCTTCTTGCTGCGCCGTCCGGGTCATATTGAACAGGGATGCCAAATACTTCCAGTCACCTTTGAAGTTCACAACATAGCCCCAAAGTGTACGTACCTGGCAGGGGCTTCTCGCTCGGATCTCGAAAGTCCACATGGTTGAGAAACACTTACTTCACTTTTCATTTCAGGCACGGTGCCTCCTGTCCGGTCGTAGGATCCCGGATCGTGACACCACTGGTGGATAGACGATTGAGGGACTCTGTGATCCAACCAGCTGCTTCCTGCAAGGTCAGGTTGATCCCTTCTTCATTGTAGATGTACCTTGTCCACCATAAGTGGGCAAATTCAAAAATATAGGTATATAGGTGTCTATTTTTTGGGCTTTGTAACCACAATAAAGATGAGAAAGATTGCCAATGTTTGCACAATGCATGCTTGAAGGTATTGTGCAAATCAAAAAGCGGGAGACTCCAGCATTGGACAAAGCAGGGCTAAGATCGAATTGGAAATGAAATGTCATCCATGAATTGTTCAACGCAGAGCCTTCATCTCCTTAGCCAGCAACCCCCTATCAAACCAAAATTTAGAATCTGAATGTATTGAGATATGTATATATATATATATATTAGAGCTACAAACAACAATTTTAAAGTCTTTGATTGAAGTATGCACCCAGTGTCCATACATCGAAAGAGGGAAGCTCGAATCGCGATGCCCATTTGCCGGATGGTGTGGAAAATCCCTCAAGAGCTGGTTCCAGTATGCATCCAGCTCATCCAGATTGCAGACTAGATTCAAAAGCCCTTCGTCCAGTAGGGCTTGTACCTTATAAGTATTACAGCTTGGCCAGAACACAGATGTTGTCAGGCCCAAAACTAGTACAAGACTTAAAAGCAGGACAGATATAGTTCCAAGGTTCCATCAAATGAGGTGGGAGAACAGGCCAGTCCCTCACCTCCAAGATGGGCTCCCCCAGCTCAGTGTGGCCAGTGCAAACCGACAGCTGCATCCAGTGGACATCCACTGGCAGTGCCAGGCCATGTCGCTGCGCTGCTTCATGAAGTCCTGGTTCTCCACCTCTCCTTGGATGGCCAGACACTTGGGAATAATGCTGCAAGCAAAAACTAAGTTCTTGAGTTGGTTCAGTCGAGACCCATGCATGCACCAAGAAAACATAGTATGTCAGCCGGGGATCTTAAAAACCTCAGATCCATATAGGGCGCCAATCTGGCAGGCATGCTTAGCAGTAGACCCACCAGCGCCAACGCCCGAAGCCAACCTTATCACGAGAATGGCTTCGAAAGAAAGCACAAAGCACAAATGCATATAGTAAGGGGATGGAAATTCCATGCTGGACATTGCCCCCACACATCTGTTAAATCTAGTAACAGGATGGAAATTCCTCTACAAAATGCAGGACATTACCCCCCCACATCGTTTAAATCATACATGTCTTGGTTGAGTTGGGGGCTTGTAAAAAAGCGACCATGATGAACCTGGATTTTATAGAACATAAGGTGATATTTGCAAGTTCGACTCCATATAAAGTGTTGTAATTGAGATGAGGCGGATTCTATAGATAAATGCTGAATCTAAGGGGCCACAATTCTATAGTCTGCTGTTTCTTATCGTCCTTCTTGGTTAGTTAATGGTGTATTCAGCAAAGCAGATCGCACCCAGCCGCCTGTGGAGGATTTGCGGAAGGGGCAGTTGGCCACTGTCCCTGAGCTAGCTGAAGGCCCTATTTTTCATTATATATTCGAACATTTAATATCATCTGAGTTGATGTGTGAAGGGGACCTGGAAAGTGGCTGCTTTGCTCCAAGGTACATGGATTTTATCTAGAGACCCATACTTCCACTCCTTTAAACAAGACCTGTTCGGAAATACATCAGGACCAGCAGCTTACAGAGCAACATCACCAATGTTCCAAGCTCTTGGAGGGTCATGACCCCCCAAAATATAATCACTATAAAATCACTACCCCAGACGTACCCATTTGATTCCAACCTTCCCAAAGTCCTCCAAGGCGCAAAGACTCGAGCTCCTTCAAGCGCTCAGCTTCGAGGCGATCACGGGAAGAACCTGCGAGGGGTGACAAGCATTGAAGACTACTGACAACTAAGAGTTCACTGCGCGCGTGAGAGCAGCTTAATGCAAACATCCATTTTTTCACTTCATCGAGCAGGGCTGATGATCTCACCAACCGGCAGCGTTGATCGTGCCACCCCATGGAATCTACGCTCCCTCTCGCCACCGGCTTTGCAAATTTCATGAATCCTGTTTGAAAGATACGTTTAGAAGTGAAGTGTCTTAGCAATTAGGTTTGAAAGATTCTTAGAAGTAAAGTTTCCGATTCCGAGTTATGAGATCTAGTTGCGATCTTTTGGATGGCAAGCTAAGGAGGTCAGATTCGCTCCACGGGCACGAATTTCACAAAATATGCCCTCGCCCTAAGACTTTGAGCGCTTATTGATCTCAGCGATATATGCTTTCGCTTGCGCTTTCACCAGCTTCATCGCATCAGCCTTGATTGAATAGAGTTCGAAGGAAACAAAAAATGCAATGAACACATCCACACATCCACAAAATGCACATCTCATATTTTACACTCTTAATATCAGAACATGGCACGGTCTCTTTGAATTCCTCCTTGAAATCCATCAAATCAGCCATAGTGGATAGGCCCTTCAACCTGGGATCCGGAATGTTTTTGTGCACCTTTGAGGGAAACGTGCTTCACGCAACACAATCTTTAATATGTTGCAGCCACAAAACTCTTCCAGGGACTCTTCAAACCTCGTCCGGTATTCTTCCAGCGTTTTGCGCAAAGCATGCTCCTTTGGCAGGTCCGTGCAAAAGCCGGTGGCCGAGATCTCCTTCTTGAGGCCATTGCCTCGAGCGTGCGTGACTGACAAGGTTGACAGGATCGAAGGTTTTCACAGGACACCCAAACGTCCCCAAACAATCCCAACCAGTTAATGAGTTTCCATCCCTCTTGCAGCAAAACTGTCTATTGCAAACAGATATATGCACATATAAAATCATCGCGGATTTAATAGCGATATGTTTATAGTCAAGAGAAAAATACACCTGTTTGTCAAGTGACGAAGTTCAGTCTTCAACTCCTCTGGTTTCTTGGGCTCTTCTGGCTTAGATGAAGAAGGCTGCGAACCAGCCTTGGCCTTGGCCTTCACAGCCGCTTTGGCCTTTGCGTTTGCACGGCCACCACCGTTAGCCTGTCCAGTTGGTAGCGGAGCATCCTCACCTGACAAGGACGCGAAATGAGTTGACAGTGGGAGTCACTATACAGGGTGGAGGAGTGAGCCAAAGTACGCATGCAGCCTCACAATGCCACAACTTAATCAATCCAAGGCACCAAGTGAATTACAGATCGCTTTGAAGTGTTCCTCAGACGGCCCACCAGCCACGGAAGGAGGGGCCCTCAAAGCGTTGACGGTAGCAGCGGAAGTCACAGCACCGATTGCACCAGCTGCATCACAGCCAACACGGACCTGCCCCTCAACCTTTGTGACCTCGGTGTCAGTCTTGGATCTCTCTGTGATGCTCCAGTACGAAGTCAGCAGTGGATCATCAGGGCAATGCTCATCTTTGATCCCACCACCCTTCTGCACACATGCCAGGATCTTGTTGCGAGGCCATCCACGGCGCTTCATCTCCAGGACAGAGAGGCACTCCATGCGGCCTTTGACCTTGGTTGCCGAGCTTTTAGACATCACCACGCTGGCCTCCACATCCTTCACATTCTTCTTGTCGCCACCGTTTTCCACCCAGCGGCGCAAAAGTTGGCGCTTCTCCTCATGGGTGCCATTGAACAGCTTCTGCGTGTGAGGGTATTTGGCCCCCTCACTAGACTCCATGAAGCGGTTGAGGCGCATGCCTTCATTCTTGTGCGACAAGAAGGTGATTTTGGAATCCCTCAGATCAGGCTGGTCATTTGCATCGCCTGAATCAGCCCGACCTGAACCCTGCTGGTCCGAGGAAGTTTGCTGGATGAGATTTTTGAGTTCTGCATCCAAGTCATCATCACCAAGTGGTGCTCCATCCAAGGTTTGCTCAAGAGACAGTGAAGGATCCACCGGTGGTGCAGCCAAAGGAGGGCCTCCGGAAGATGAGGATGGTGCACCCTTGGATTTCTCACCCTGCAGCGCGATCATGCGGTCTTCCATTTCACGAAGCTGTCGTTTCAACTCTGTGACCTTGGGGTCCTCAGCAGGAGCTTCGGGCTTCGCCAAAGCAGAGGCCTCGACCTTTGAAGTTGCATTGGGCTCAGGCTCAAACTTCTTTGCATCCGCAGGAGAGGGCTCCACAGGCACAAGTACAGGACGGTCCAAAACAACTGCAGCGGTGGCCTCAGGCACCACCACAGCCGCCGGCGCCGGCGCTGTGACAGCCTCAACAGACGAAGGCACTACTGCAGGTGCTGCCACAACAGGCGCCTCCACAGGCGCTTTGTCCTTCAAAGATTCCTCCACCTCCATAGGTGCGTTGTCCTTTGTAGATTCCTCCACCTCCTCAGCCACAGGCGTTGCCTTTGCAGATTCCTCCACAGGCGCCTGCACAGGCGCTTCCTTTGCAGATTCGCCCACAGGCGCCTCCACTGTCTCCTGTCCCTTTGCAGATTCCAGCGCCTCCACAGGAACTTTGGCCATTGCAGATTCTGCAGGCACTTCTGCAGCTTCAGCCCTTTCAAGGGGCTGAGATTCCTCACGTGCAGGGGCGAAAGTCGACTGTGACATGCCCAGCTGGTTGTCTGGATGCTCACGCTCAGGCTCTGCATGAAAGATGGCATTGTCTAAGCACAAGGATGGGGGGATGCGCTTGATAGGCACTGGCGGGTGATCACGTTCTTCACTCTTGGAGGCCTGCATTGCATCCAACTGTGCATGCAAAGCAACAACTTCCGCTCGGAGCTCCAATTCTTGCGTAGTCGCTGGAACTGTCGAGACAGAATCACCCAGCCTGAGGCGTCCCTGAGGAGCATCTATATGATGAACCTATGATGATATAGATTCATGGGTTCAGTGAGGTGCAGACTTATATCTTAAAACAAATCAGCAATTTGAAGACGTGATCAAGGTACCTTAAGAGTGAGTTCGGACTCAATAGTCATCTCTTAAAACAAAAATCAAATTGGAGACATGATCAAGGTACCGAAGGGTGGCTTCAGACTCAACATCACCAGTCGGCATTGGCTGCGGCTGGCTGTGCTGCTGCTCAACGAGCCCCAAGCCATACTGCAAAGTGCCACAAGACCTCACAGCATTTTGGCACACCGATCAAACACTAAGATAAGCTGTATGACAGCACCAATCACCAGAAATAAAAACAAATCAGATATTAATCAATGCCACAGCACCATTGCGAGATTTGTGATTCGTCAACCGTAGCAGCTTTGCGCAACCGCTTTGCAGGCATTTCCGGAAGGTCAAAGTGTGACTCCTTCTTGTTGGGCTGCGATTGCACCACGTGTGCTGCAGGCGGTGCCTCCTCGATCGTGTTGGGCTGCTCAGGCACCACAGGCTTCACAGGCACCGCAGGCAGCACCGCAGCAGGCGCCACAGGCGGCACCACCTCATCACCCAGAGAGGTCTTTGGAGGAAGCGTGACTACCACAGGTGGTGCTGGAATTGGTTGTTTCCTTTCACGCATCACGCAACCCTCATCCTCAGCCGGCGCCTTTGCAGCAGGCCGCTTCCTCACAGCCAACCCAGGCTCATCCACCTCCTCATCATCTTCCATCTCTTCCTCTTCTTCATCGCCCTCAACTGCTAGCACAGCAGGATCGGGCTTGGACGAAGCAGCAGCTTTGCTCGCTGCACGTTTTTTGGCCAATGCTTTCTGCTTGGCTTTGGCTTTGGCCTTTGTCTTGGCCGAAGCCTTGCACTTGGCCTTGGATTTGGCCTTTCCCTTTGGCGCACTCGCCTTGCCACCAGCACTGGCCTTAAGCAAAGCTGCACATCGCTTCTTCAGGAGGGCCAAATCCTGAGTTGAATATCAACAACTTGCAAACTGGACTTATACATCTTTCAGGGACACAAAAAAAGAACAAGTACAAGTTGAATTCAGGACAGCTGCTACATCCTCAGGCGGTGGACCACCCATCACCAAACTCATTAAGTCCTTCGTCGACTCAAAGGAAAAGCCTGTGGCACAGGCAACTTCAGGAAGCTTTGCCCAATCCAGCTCCTTCAACGGGAAGGGCAGCTTTTCGATGATGGCATTGGCCGCCATTGATCCTGCCAAGATCGAGGTGGCTGATCACTGCAAAACTAGCTTCGGAAGCACGGACACACACTTAATGACAAGCATGATGTTCGATTGCATGGGATTGAATGCATCGAGTGCCCATGAACGAATTGAAAAAAACTCGTGATTTTGCTTCACGTACATTCACGGTTTTTTCACGTACATATGGCCGTTTTTCACGTACATATCACGATATTTCACGCGGGTGTTTTTGTTGGGCCCACGAAGTGTGATGGCAGCTTCAATTAAGATCGAGTGTGCAGAGCTGACCGCTGACCACACTCTTCTAATTGCTAAAAACGATAGCTGTGCAGTTCACAGCCACCCAAAAGCTCGAGATCATGCTCAGTGCTGTGCAGTTCACAGCCACCCAAAAGAGATCGTGCTCAGCCAACCGTGCTCCTGGCAGAAAGCAGGCAGTGAAGCACGCTTTTCAAACATATAATGCAAATCATTCACAATTCACACCCTATATGCACACCAGCCATGCCTCTTGATCTTCTTTCGAAGCTGAAGTCGTTGCAATACCAGGTCCTGGGCAGTCACAGCGTCATCAAAACATCGCACAACCACGATACAAAGGTTGATGACATATGAATATGACATACTGCATGATTTACCATGTCATTTCATTTACCACCCAAGCTGTTGTTGCCAAGATTCCCAGCGGCCTGTCAAAGCCAAAGTTTTGCAGCCCAATAGATAGCGAAGGCATAGAGGAATGTCAGCCTTGGCTGAGATGGAAATGTAGGGGTGGAGCTTGGTTAAGGGATAGGTGAGGATAAACAGCCATGAAGCAAGCAAGTTTTCTCAACAACATACCATGGCACATCCAGCCATAGATCACCCAGCCCATCCGTGTATAGGTGGAGGAACAGTTCTGGATCAGTTCTTCCACCAGTGATTTCCACGATATCAAGATCTTCTCGAGGCAGAGGAAATGGGTCCTTTGGAAATTGCAAGCAACTATTAAAGAGTACTGTTCAACTTGAAAGTACAAGGCCATATATGTGCAACAAACCTTTTCCTGTCGGTGTTTCTCGAGACAATCTGCTATGCGTAGTCCAAATGCTGCCGTGTAGGCCCTCAGATATCGGATACAGAACCCCAAACACATTGACCCATATCAGACATTGAAACATACACTCAAGCACAAACCCCATTTCATGCCAAGCCAAGACTCTGGCTGGCTTTCAATTTTTGTGGGATTCCAGCATACCGGCGCCTCCCAGATTTGTCTATGTACTTGCGAACCAGTGGTCCACCTGGGAGCCTCTTGCGAAGCTCTACCGGCATTCGATTGGCCCCCTGAACAATATCGTCCAGAAGTTGGCGGCTGGAAGACCAAAGTTTGTGCTGCTTGCTGGTGTGGCCGCCAAAGCATCCCATGTAAAACTTGGCAGAGAAGACCTAGGGTAAGGGCTGCATAATTTGGTGGTGCGCCATGACTTAGACAGAATCACACAAAAGAACACAACATTTGAAAGCTTCGCCACATGTATAGCATGGAGAAGTTCTTGAAATCGTGGGTGCGATTGTAAGCACGAATTTGCAGGCTGCTCCACAATCCAATGCAGATTCCGCCAGCAGCAGATCCAAATGATAAGAACCTGGTGTGCCATCAAGGATATACAACCCATATCCCTATATGTATGCATACACACGTACAGGGGGGACTAGAAAACCAGTCAATCCAAGCCACCACTCTGCTAGCCAGTTTGTTTCCAATCGCAACATAGCTGTAGCCATCATTCCCCAGCCAGTCATTGAAGACATTACGATCTGATGTACCCCTCGACCTTGGCCATCATGGCAGTTCAAACTAATCACCAGACAGTCATAACTAGTAACTAGTCTTCAACTAATCAAGATAAAACCATATTCTCCCAGCTGCATGGCTGTGAAGCTATTGCAATCAGCACCAGCCCGCCAGGCGCCACTCGAAGAACTTCGCTGATGGCCATCCTTAGAGGCACAAATCGCACAGCGCAGGGCCGGGAAATAGAGCACAACAAACCACACCATTTAAAAGGGTGCAACAATTTAGATAAGGATCAGGAACCCTGTAGTCGAGCAAAGGTCCATGTAGGGAGAGTGGTTTAGGTCGTGGGCAGACCCATTCCACCCCAGCTCACGCCGGAGAGCTCCCGTGACTTCGCCCCTCCCAGCAAAGAGCTCTACAAAGTCTAAGTCACAGGCCTTCCGGATGAAAGGCGTGTGCATCATCAGAACCACCACAAGCTGCAAGACAGCCGGCGCTTTCCATCGCACAAGCTCTGGGATCACCATGGTTACAACCGATCAGGGGTATATCAAAAGTGATCATGAAAGTGCAGTGAAGTTTGTTCTTGATTGTTTTTGTTGCACTGTATGTTCCAAATCTCCATATATATGCCATACAGCTTTCCATATGCATGCATGGTACACCTAGCTGTGTACATATATAGCTGTTCTACCCGTATTGAACCCCCTGTTGAGCACGAAAGCTTGCAATAAATCCCTTATAAAGTAATAAGATTTCAACCCACGCTCACTCAGAGCACTCACACTGCCGACTTGAGCATTTCCATCCAGATTTTCCAAAAGTGTTGCAACGGTCATTTCATGGCTGTTCTATACACTGTGTGCATTCACACAGTTGGCAGAAGGAACCAACTTAATTTGACCTGCTTGGCAGCTAAACATCATGGTACCTCACTCCAGGGGTTTGATTTTGAACCCTTGGGCAAAAACCTTCTACGGACAAGCTCTGTCACAGGAACTTTGCACAATAGGTGTGCCTTTTCACGGGATAAGTTCCATGCACAATTGGCCACAGAATACGAAGTACCCTTGGCCCTTTGTTCCTCAATGAATTTGGCACGCTGCTCTTTGTAGGCGTGAGGTGTGTAAGGCCCACAATCCAATTGTCGCTTTTTGACATTGGCCGGAGCGCTTGCAGGCACGCCCAAAGTCTTCGACTTTTTCTTGGCTTTGGACTTGGCCTTCGCCGGCTTGGCAGGCTTCGGCCTCAATTTCACAGGCGGTGCCATCTCACCACCCTCATCCTCATCATCCACATCATCTTCACAACCAGCTTGATCAGCCCTCTTCTTCCAAGCACTCTGGTAAGTGTCAGAGATCTTGAAAGGCTCCGGCACAGGGCTCCCATTCATGGACTTGATGGTGTCAAGAACCTTGTACCACAAGTCTAGCAAGTATCAAGGGCACCCATACTTCCCCCACCATGGCATTGTAGCTTGGCATAGGCAAAACACAAAATAAAGCAGAATCAATCATCAACAAGGATCAAACTCCGGTAGAGCATGCTTAGATGGCTTAGATGCAGACTGCACTGTAGACCCCCGCGCATTCTCAAATTGGGCCTTCAGGTCAGCTGCAAGCTTCACCAGATCAGCTTTGCCAGCTTGAGGACTTGCGACGGGTCTCGGAGCTGGGGTAGCATCGCAAGCCATACTTTGCAACGCCAGCCTGCCAGTACACAGACACAAACAGCTCAAGGAGATGATATTGCTGTTAAGTGTTCATACATTGTGTTCACATGACATTGCAGCATCATCACGCCTCTGTTTTTTCAAATCATTTGCAGTCTCCAATACAACCTTCTCCTCCTCGAAGGGTACCATGGTCTTACCACTTGGCAACTCATCAAGGCTATCAGCAATGGTCATAGAGCATGTTGAGGATACTACATCATCTTCGGCATCATCCGGGTGTTTTGGCCACTTTTGACCAGGCTCAAAGTCCTTAATTATATATATATATACAGCAGCCATCACCAACTGCATTTCTGAACAGCAACAAAAGCACCCCCAATACATAAGCTGTCAACCGCATAGAAACACATGAACACAGTTAAGCCAAGTGACACACAGACCCGACAGCCTTTGCTTCAGCTCATCGATCTTGCAAACTTTGCTGGAGGACGCCAGCTGCATAAGTCGACGAAATCGGCTCACCTGGATTTCAAGGCCAGCGAGCGCAGCGATTGGGAAAGGCAGTGGGAA